CTTCTTTATTGAAAGCCAGGATTCGCTCGCGAAGATTTGGGAAGAATGAAAATTTTCATAGCGTTTGTTTATGATTTTGAGCCGTTTGACCGTCTACCGTACGAGCCCTAGTCTTTTGAAGAGAAGTTTACCGCCAAATTCTCTGTTTTAGGGCTTTTCTTGGTTCTTGCTTGCGATGGATCGATCATGCAATCCCGCTGCTGGAGTCGTAGAAGGAGGAGCTGAAGGAGGAGGATCGGGCTTGCTGGATCTCCGAGTGGCCGTGGTGGTGGTGGTGGTGGTGGTGATGGTGGTGGTGTTGGACTGTTGCTGCGGCGAGGACGGGCTTGACGTCTGTGTCAACAGAAGAGGTGAGCTGCTGCGGGTAAGCCGGATTGTTGCCGCTGGAGTGGATTGGATTTTTTTTTATGAGTGCCAGCAGCTGGTGCTGGGTGCCTGGGTGATTCAAGGCCGCAGAGCTTTGGTTCAGGCCAAGCCTTCCCAGTTGCCACTCGGATCTTGCCAGTATGAATTGCTGCTGCTTGGGGCTGGAGTTCATTTGTAAGCTCTAGGTTTGACCCTGCTAGGTGGTGGTGGTGGTGGCAGCGTGAAAGTTTGCAAAGGTCGAAACCAAGTGGTGGTGCTATTGCTCCACCATAGCTAAGGAGCTGTGGGAGGTGACTAGAGAGCTTTGCTGGTGAGCATTGCTGCCTATCCTGGCTGATGATAGCAAGAGGCTCAGGCCTTGCAGGTACTGTTGGTGCTCGGATTCTTGCGTGCAATTCATAAAAAGGTAGAAAATATAATGGAGTGCCAGAACGAACAAATGCTCTTGGGTTAGTCATGGATGAGGGTTGAATTCATGAAGCTTGGAGTGATAGTAGAATCACATGTTAAGCCATGCCAGGCTAGAAAAAAATGTTGGTATATGAGACACTTTAGGAGGTCTATTATTAGTTCTTCAAGTTCTGTCACCTTCATTAATAACACTCTTTTCCTACTATAGAAGTATAGTTTGGGATTGCAATCCACTTGGTGACAAAGGTTGTAGTAACAGCCAGGAGATCAAAGGTGTTGAAGATGATATGCCACCAATGACTTTGAACTGACTGCCATAGTGTCCATGATGACAAGATAAGGATTGCTAATTGTTATTGGTATAGGTGTGCACTACAACCACAAGTGGTGCACAACAAAACAAAAATGAGTTAAAGGAATCCAAGATAAAAAAAAAAAGAGCGCATAAGGTCATACTATACTTATGGCTTAGATGGTAGCCTACCTTGAGGGTCAATATGGATATATTTGGATATTGAAGCTCCATTAGATGATGATGTTAATCTTTGGAAGTAGTTATGGAATGCTGATAGGGAACTATAAGCTTGCTAGTGTAACGGCATTATCAACTCACCTTACGTGGGAAAACACATGGAAAAATGATAAATACCAATGAAAAACTTACCCAACTAGACCACTTGTTATTTCAGGAGGTAGATAGCAAGGAAGTGGCACTTGTATTAATAGATGGAGTTGCAGCAATTGTAATGACTAGTGGAGTAGTAGTAGGTGTAAATGGGCTAATAGTAATGGCACTATATGGGTTTGTGTGATAGAGATTCCACTTGTGTTGTAGCATATGCAATATTAGATAACACTCTACTTGTTCAAATGCAATTAGGAGTTGTGGGTGGGATGTTATTGGAGTTGATGTCCATGTTGTGAAGCTTGATAAATCGAGTGGTTGGTGTGTGTCCTACAGAAAATAAATTGTTTTATTCTTGCTCTAAAAATTACCTCTAACAGAGTTGCATCTTTAACATTAGAGAGAAATGGTTTAGGTATATCTTCAATATCTTTTCTACCAATAGCTACTATAATTTTATAGAAGCACAATTTAGGAGGAATTTTGTAACATTATCAATATTCTTACCCAAGCTCTCTCTAGGGTGCAATCCAGTGCAAAATATTCTTCTTGAGGTATGGAGCAAAGACACAATATAAGCTTTACTTATGCCATAGATTAGATACATTGAGAATTCCTATGTCTTCCATAGCCTCGAAAAGGTGTTTATAAAACCATATAAGAACTCTTTCCACAAATGCTCTATACGTTATAAAACAAAATGGATTTAATCTTTATGTCGATAAAACTCTAATGTTATGAGTACTTAGTTATGTGTTGATGTCCCATCCTAGCTGCTAGACCCCAACATCAAACCATGTCCCTCTCAACTTCATTGTGCTCTGGAGCATTGTTGCTTTGGATGTGCTTGGGCCTTCCAAATTGATAAATAACCTACACATATGTATTAAATATTGCATGGGATTCTTTGGAGGTAGCTAATTTGCAAGTACAATATAATGAATTACCCTGCAAATAATGACATGTGCATAGAAACTATAGCTTATAAGTTTGCAATATACTACAATAAACATGTTATCATATGTGATCACAAAAAGCAAAAATGAAAGAATACTCACAATCCATATAACAAAGTGCATAAACCTCTTCATTCTTGTAAATCTATCATCGAATCCTTATCAAGAATCTTAGGTCATGAGTGATTAAGGCTTCATAAATTTGGTGTCGGCTAAACTAGTATCCTTCAGTCCAACAGTTAGATTGGGAATTGATAATACCTCAATTTGTGCCATCTTGATTCATGGCATTGTTAGTCTAGATGTGATGAAATACCTTTTTGGGTGGTACATTGTAATATACACCTCTCCAATTTGGATTAACATGCAAAATAAGTAGTAGTTTTAGTCTCAAGGATCTTCAAGTGCATTTAAGTACCAAATGCGACCAAAACCTCTCAATTGCAAAAAATGATGGAAGGCATAGAAATATACAAATGAATTGAATTAAATCTAAAAAGTTGGAAACTAACCAAACCTTTGGGAGAACATCATTGTCATTATCCACCCCTAAACCATGGAAGGTTATCCTCCTCCTCTTCCTCCACATCTTCCAGTAAACCTAGAAGGAAAGGTTTCAATGATACAAGTTTGAAGTAAATCTAGAAGGGAACACTCATGGTAAGAATTTCAAAGTTCATGAAGAGCAAATTAATAGTGAATCAAAGCCACTTCCAACATTACCCACAAAAACATTTGAAACCAATCACCAACAAACTAAGTTGCTTTCAACATCTAGTGCCAAGAAACACAAGGAAGGCATCCTAAACCTTAAGACTTAATGAATCCTTAAGTTCGATGAAATTATATATGTATAACACAATGTTCATATTATGTGGACATCATCCACCCATTGGGCTAACATCCATGGGGCATCCATTGCAATGGGATTAACATTTAATGCTAATCCTATAGAAGAATGCCATGTGGACACCCTGAAATAGACTGTTATATTTTCTACCCTTTTACAAATTGTATGCCATAGTTGTGTAGTGTAGCAGAGCTGCACATGCTTTTGTTTTGTTTTATTTCTCGTGTTCTAACATGCTTCTTGGCGCTGGTTTAGCTTTGGAAGCTTTCCTCTCTTGTCTGCGCAGCTTTTGAGGTATTCGGCTTTGTTTTCTTTGCTTTCTGCTGCTCCTGTTTGTGGGAGACTAACATCGTAGCTGCTTTGTCCTGCAGATCTTTGACTTGCCCTGGACACGCAAGAAAAGGGATCCGAGCGAGAAGCACTGACACGCGATAGGGAAAGGGTCTTGACACACATAATCGCCGTGAGTGTTTGGATCAAAAGCTCTAGCTAGCGACAGGAGGAGTGGCTCTCGCTCAATCAGGACGAACTCAATCAGGAAGAACAAAGGAAAGAAGTATAGAGAAGTGATCTGCAAACCGGCTGTGGAAACGTGGATCAAAGCTTGGTTCGTTTGGTTCGTTTGGTGGCGAGCGTATTGAAGAATTGGAAGGCGAGAGTGGGATTTTAATGGGTTGGGTCACAGTTTGGTGGAGGCCTTTTCCAAAAGAAATTCATTCTCGTTTTTATGGCTTTGGTTTCGCCCCCATTCTTTTTCTTCTTTATTGAAAGCCAGGATTCGCTCGCGAAGATTTGGATAAAATGAAAATTTTCATAGCGTGAAGAGCTTTTGTTTATGATTTTGAGCCGTTTGACCGTTTACCGTACGAGTCTTTTGAAGAGAAATTTACCGCCAAATTCTCTGTTTTAGGGTTTTTCTTCTTTCCTAGGGTTCTTGCTTGCGATGGATCGATCATCCAATCCCGCTGCTGGAGTCGTAGAAGGAGGAGCCGAAGGAGGAGGATCGGGCTCGCAGGATCTCCGAGTGGCCGTGGCCGCGGTGATGGTGGTGTTGGAGCGCCGCCGCGGCGAGGACGGGCTTGACGTCTGCGTCGACAGAAGAGGTGAGCTGCTGCGGGTGAGCCGGATTGTTGCCGCTGGAGTGGATTGGATTGTTTTCGATGAGCGCCAGCAGCTGGTGCTGGGTGCCTGGGTGATTCAAGGCCGCGGAGCTTTGCATGCTTTGGTTCAAGCCCAGCCTTCCCAGTTGCTGCTCGGATCTCGCCAGTACGAATTGCTGCTGCTGGGGGCTGGAGTTCATTTGTAAGCTCGAGGTCTGATCGATGCTTTCCCTGCTAGGTGGTGGTGCCGGTGGCGGCGGCGTGAAAGTTTGCAAAGGTCGAGCCAGCCATGGAACCGAGTGGTGGTGCTGTTGCTCCACCATAGCTGAGGAGCTGTAGGAGGCGACCGGAGAGCTTTGCTGGTGAGCACTGCTGCCTATCCCGGCTGACGATAGCGAGAGGCTCGGGCCTTGCAGGTACTGCTGGTACACGGATTCTTGCGTCCCTGGAGATTGCCGGGTACTCTGTGCGGAAGATGGTGTCCGTGAAACCACCGAAAGTACGAGTGCTTGTACGTCGGAGCTGGGAAGCGGTGTTGCTGCTTGCTGCCCGGCTTGGGCCGAGCGCATTAACGAGCTCCTGCTGTTCGCTGCCGCGAGTTTCTCGTCCATTGTCCCGAAACTGGGGGACTGCTGCTGCTGGTGGCCTTGCAGCCTGTTTGCTCCTCCTGAGCTGAGACTATCCCTGTCCGTGAGCGATGCTGTTGGGGAGTTACTTTTGTGGTGGAGCAGCATTGTTGGCTTGTGGTCGCCTTCGATTACTACACAGGCACAAGCACTGGTACGTTAGCTATGTTTTCTTTTTCATTCTTTCATTTCTCTCTGTTTTTTTAATTCCAGTATAGTATTCTTCGACTTACTTGTGCGTATGTTTGTAGATTGTTCCTCGGATTTAAATGGCTCCGAGGATATGGTGGCTACGGCACTGTGCTGCGGCTTTCGCCGCCGACGGTTATGGTCGGCGAGTCGCTTTCTACAGCTTCTTTTCGTGTCGTCAAACTCTGATAAGGGGTGGAACCTGACGAGACAACGAACCAGTAGCAACGTAAGCATGTAGAACCTTTGGGTTTAAGAAATTCTCTCGCCTTTCCGTTTATGTTGCTAGTGGTTTATGTTCCCTCTCTTTTTTTTTTCTTGTCTGAACAACTAAAGCTTCTCTTTTCATAAATGCAGATTCTAGCTACAGGCAAAGATCACACGGAGAACATCACAGGGAGAAGATTGTCGATGCAACAAGGAGAGCTGAACGAGCAACGGTGAGAGAGATACGTACCTGCTGCATTGCTGGCAAAACCGTTGAGTCTGTGCATTGGCAATTACGTTGGGTGCTTTCGAGTGTATCTCGCAAACTTTGTGCCGCCGGTGGTAATGCTTGGCTTTGCTCAAGTCCGCTGCACATCCTTGCACTTGGCACATAGGCGCATGAGTCCCTAGAGCGTTCATGCGGCTCCTTTTCCCCAGTCTAGCCGAGTCCTCGGCCGAGAAGTACGTCCGTCCTCCCAGATTGAGTCCTATCCTAGCGTGTGGCTCCAGCGAGTACATGTCTTCCCTCTTGACAAAGTCGAGCATGTTTTTGTGTTCCGCTGACTCCAGCATTTGCATTCCCAAGAATCTCCTCCGCTGGTCGTAGGACCGGAGCTCCGCATTGAGGTCGCTCGGCGGACAGGCTGATCCGTGAGCGTAAAATCCCGTTGCCTGTTGCTGTTGCTGCAAGTTTTGTGCTGCTTGGTGATGGTGGTGACTTTGGCTTTGCTGATGGTATCCGTCGCTCAATCCCCCGGCGTAGCTTCTCAGGCCCGGGCCAGCGCTGTAGCTCGCAGCAATGGACAAGCCAGGGTGGTGGTGGTGTGCGAGAGCAGTGGCCGAGTAATTGGCAGCGACATTGTACTGCCTGGCGTTGCAAAGAGCTGTGGCTGTCGGGAGTGCTAAAAGTTGAGGCTTGCGCTCTCCATCTCCAGCTCCTCCGACGAGCTCCGCTGTAGCTGCTCCTCCTCCCGGATGATTTTGGTGGTGGACGAGTAGCATCTGGCTTTCCCAGTCCCACTCGGGACGAGCTGCTGCTGCTCCCCCTTGGTGGTGATAAGTCGCACCGCTGTGAGGCGTGGCCGCGTGATCCCAGTTATCTGTTACCCAGCTGGGATCCCCGTGTTGCCCCGAAGGATTTGGAGATGGATTCATCCCATCAGTCGCTGCAAGCAGGCTTGTCGCCAGGACTGTCGAGTGAGTACTTGATATGCTGCTACTTCTATACTAAATACTTCTGCTTGTTACAGCAGACATTCCTGTCGGGGAAGAGAATTGGAAAAATCCCAAAGGTGAGGGAGTCTCGGCTGCTGTAAAGCAGTGCACTTACTTCGAATGTGAGCTCGGGCCTTCGCTTTTGGTGCTCCCTTGCGGCGGCGGTGGCGGCGGCGGTTACCAAGAACACTAGTTGCAAGTAAGTTGCCGGTAGTATGATACTTTGGTCCTCTCTTCCTCCTGCCCGGGAGAGAGACGCGCTCTTCTCATTCATCGCTTTTGGCCCTTACAGCTGGAAGGAGCCGTCCAATACATGGACTGGCCGGGACAAAGATCAAGCAAGCAAGAACAGCTAGACTTCACACACACACGAGAACGAAGTAGGCCCTGAGGCTCAGGATGATACAATAGATATGGCTTCCAAAGCATCGTACAAGCAGGAGCAGCAGTAAAAAGAAGGAGTACGATACTCGAACGCGAGCAGTAGTAGCAGTAGCAGGAGGAGGAGCAGCTGTAGCAGCGGCAGTCGCAGCGCAGCAGGAGAGAAAACGATGATGATGAGGATGATGATGATGATGATGATATCAAGGCCCAAAGAAGAAGTTTCTGCTACTCGAGCTCCCGCAAAGCATTACTCACCTCCACCAAGCAGCACCGGGCCAGGACTACACTCATTTTTTCTCCTCAACAAGAAGAGAGAAGCAGCACAGCAAGCAACGCCGAGCAAAGCAATGCAAAAGGAGGAGCGGCCGAAAAGAAAAGAAGGAAAAAGGAGTGCTCTTCGCAACGGGAGAAGAAGTAAGTTCTTCGTCTGTTTTTCTCGCCTCTTCTTGACTGTGGACCATTCAGGAGCAGCGCTCGCGCTCCTCACATTTTGTCACTCGAGAGCCACCAGCTTATTCGTCGAGAACGAAAGAGCAAACAAGAAGAAGGCGCGGGAAAGACCAAAGCAGCCATGGCCAGGAAAAAATGGGAGGAGGCGTCCGAGGAAGAGAAAGAAAAAAACAAGGAGGGGGAGCGGCGCCGCTACTGCGCCGCGGGGGCCCCAACGGCGGCGCCGCCTGTATGCATGTGTGCATGGCAGGGAGCAGTAAATGCACCGGTACGGAGTGAAAAGACGGCAGTACGACCGAGGGTACGGCGCTCCAGGGGGATGTTATTTTGGGGCACGCAAGTGACGTAAGCTGGGTCTGGGAATGTAAGTGGCTAGGCTGCTTGCTCAAAGCTTTGGCTTGCATTTTTCTTCGATTTGTTTTTCTTGTTCTTGCTTGATATTTTGTCTTGCCTGTTTTTCTGTTGTCTCAGTGACTAGTAGACTACTACCACTGACTGTAAGTGTTTTATGTGTTTTGAGGTTGAGCTGGGCTGCTTGCTCGCTGCTGTGGACTGGAGTGGAGCATTTTGATTGGAAGAGGACTGGTGCTACTTTCAATCCATTCAAGTCTAGTCTGGTCAGTTGTGTGTTCTTATTTTGCCTGTGTCACTGCTGTGGGCCTGGCCACTGTTCTGCTGCTTCTGCTGCTACTGATTTCTGGCTTGGCTGGCTGGCGGGCTACTTTTGTGTGTGAGAGTGATCATTTAGTTTTGGGAAACCTGGAGAAGTTGACGGTTTATGTGTTGCTTACTAAACAGGTGTTCCGGCTTACAGCAGGGATTAATGCGCGACGACGTTTCATGGAATGTACAGAAAGAGATTTGCGTGGGAGAATGAGGAGGGAGTTTTTGCCTGGGGGAGGAGAGAAAGGCGGGAGGAGACGAGCGAGGTATGTAATCCATTATTACTGATCGTTTGTTCCTCCTGAGAAGTGGAGGAACGGAGCTCCGTTTGTCTCATTTAATTCTCGGCCTATGTTTTACTTTCCACAGGGTTCCAGTGTCCTCGCATTCAAATGTTTGTAAGGAAACGAAAGCAAGCAAGCTCAAGGAGCACACGATGTCTACAGTCTGTCATTTTTCCATCAGATACGACCATCATGCCGCTTCCCTGAAGGTTTAGATCTCCGCATCGTTGCTCTTATTTTACTCTTGTCATCGCTTTTATAGCCAGGAAATTTCGCTTTCTTAGCTAAATTGGCCACTTATTGTCAGGGCCGGGACCGGGATCACTTTCAAACGGATACGTCATCACATACCAAGATCTCAGGCGAGTTAAGAACAGATTGATTGATCCATCTTGGCTTAACTTTGTTTTCCTCTTTTCCTTTCAGCGCAATCGACGTCTTGTCTCGTCAAAAACTTTAAGCAGTAGCCAGCAGCATCTCAAGGATTTGAGGTGAACTCATCATTGTTTGTCGTCTCGCACCAGATCCATCTTTCACAGCAATCCCCTCGGCCACCTCACACCGCATCCCCCGTAAGTGATTGGAATTTCCCACCAGCTGTGTGCATATAATGGCACGAATTTTTTCCTTCAGGGGGTCCATGCCACACCAAAGCGCTGTCCTGTTCCATCTTTGTTTCTGCCGGTGCTGCTTCTCGAAACACAAAGCTAAGTAACCGACGGTGATCTTGTTACGCTAAAAAACAATAATTGGCCACGGCTGGCTGTGGATGTTTCTCGGTACTCTCTAGTATCCATCGTGCTGCACTTGGGGGGAGACATACGTATACAGCAACGTATAGTGTAAGTGCGTCCTTTAATCTCTTCTACCCCCAATGACTAGGAGAAATGACTAATGTCCCGAGGTAATGTTTGTTTGTTTCGCAGTTGCCGTGGAAGTCCTCGTTGATTGATTGAGTCCCTCGCTCACGACGGAACGGGAAAGTCCCATTCAAGGAAAGCGACTGTGAAGACATGTGGGTACTCCTGCGGACGTCCACTTTATGCTGCTTCTTTTCCCAGTCGGGAAGGTGAGCGTGTTTCTTTGTTTTCTCAAGTCCGTGCAAATATATTCTCTAGAATCTCACGCTTCCTTTTCCTGTGCAGCCCCTCTAGAGCTATCCTAGAAAGCGAGAAGAAGCGAGAAGAAGCGAGACCTTTGCTTCGTGGAGCAAGCAATGGGCGATGGGTGGATAGAGACATCGATCCAATCAATATCGCGAGAAGGAATGGCGCACTTCTTCTTCCACAGGAGCAAAAGAGGGGACGTAGCAAAAAAAAGGAAGAAAAGCGGGAGACAGGGTGGTGATTGCGATCATCCGATATGAAATCGTCCTGTGGGACAAAGAGGCAGCGCAAGGGGAGGTTCCCAAACATGGACAATTTTTGTCGTTCCAGCGCACGACCGATGCTGTGCATTATTTCGCGGCCACCAACAACACATATAACTATATATGCTTCAAAGAACTCAGCAAGGCAAGGAGCCCCCCGCGGGGAGGAAAGGAATAGCAAGGACTTGTTACTCGCAGTACGGGGGAGGGTACGGACGTGGATCCTGGGGGATAATTGGGGAGCTTTAAAAGATTGGAAAGAGCGCAGCACTAGTGTCACACCGGCATCAGTGTTGGGTAGTGGGAAATCTTGGACGCGGAATTAGGTCACGTGCTCGATCGCGGCCGTTGGCAGTCGGCGGCGGAGATTGGCCCACTTGGTGGCCTGCCCGCCGTCGGTGCTGGGGGGCCATCCGACGGGCGTGGTCGAACTACTTTTCTGTCGTGGACTGCGAGAAAAATGTAGGGTTTGCGACGAAGGAAGCGACAGAGGGGAGGGAGAAAGATCGATGCGGCCGCGGCGGGGAGGGCGGGGAATGCGCAGCTGAAAGCTCCCATCGGATCGCTCTTCTTGCGGGGGAATTCGGGTATGTTTTGGCGTTGCGCTCGCTCTCTCAGGCAAGAAATCTCGGTGTCTAGGGTCTTTGTCGCCAGGAATTGGCTCCATGCACGTAGATCTCGCGGGCAAGCACGGCATGGAGTTGGCGATCCGGCAGCAGCAGCGCGGCAGCCGCGATCAGTGAGAATTTCCCCTCCGGGAGGGGGGCCGGGAGAGCGTTTTCTCTTTGATCAATGGACGCTAGCCATCCCGCAGTGTATCCAGTAGGAGTGCCTCCAACAGCCGTCGATCCACCTCCACGAGTGCGCATGAAGGACTACGAGGGAATGCCCAGTACTTTGGGTGGCCTTGTGCTGCGATCTGGCCAGTTTGCTTGCGCAGTCACGGCCTTGAGCATCATGATCTCCATTCCAGATTTCTCGTCGGTCACAGCCTTCTGGTGAGAGAAAGCTCTTTAAGTTTTTGTTTTTTGCCTTCCTTGTTCTAAGTGCTGGTCTTTTCTTCCTTTTTGGTTGACAGCTATCTAGTCGCAGCAATGGCATTGCAATTGTTGTGGAGCGTGAGCCTCGCAGTGGTGGACGGATACGCTCTACTTTTGAGGAGAACTCTCCATAATCCAGTACTTTTGAGCCTTCTTGTTATTGGAGACTGGGTAAGCAAATGGAAAATTAGAATCTTTTCATGAGAGTGCTTTTTGCGACGATTTTGCAGGTCACCTCCACCCTCAGTCTCGCAGCTGCGTGCTCCTCGGCCGGTATCACTGTTTTGATCGACAGCGATCTTGCACAGTGCGCTCACAATCACTGTGGAAGGTATGAAGCAGCGGTGGCCATGGCCTTTTTGACTTGGTTCTTGGTCTCGCTCTCTTTCTTCTTTTCGTTTTGGTTGCTCGCAACAAGGTAGAGACAAACGCTTAAAAAGGACTAAGTAAGAGAGAGAGAGAGAGAGCTCAAAGTTGGCACTCGATGTAAAGACCAGACCACAAAGTGTAAATTGGCTTTTTGTCAAGTAGAAAAGATTACCCTAACGAAACTTTGAGAACATGTTTGTCCGGAGGACTTCTGCATACAAGAACGAGCTGGTTTTTCCATCGATCATGAGCTCAAGACGGTGATGTTCTTGTCTTTGAGCCATGGAACCTACACGTCTCAACGGTAAGTTCTTACAAAAATGACTCAAATGGTTTTGTCTACCCGACTATAAGAAAAGTTTGTAGCCCAAAAAAGGTAAATATATCTTCTAATCAGTAAGGGATTAATATTTTCCTGTATTATATTCCTATTTTAAAAATAAATAGCTAGTAAAGTTATAAAATTAAAAATTAAAAAATTAATCAACCAAATGATTGAAATTTTTATTTAGTAAAAATTAGAGTAGGTTAAGATTTATATAATTCTTTGTCTTGCTTTGCAACCAATAATTCTTTGCAACAAGTCTTAGGGTCTGGCTAAACTAAATCATAAAGAATATATTACTATATTACCACTAACTTTGTATTCTTGGGATGCTTTATCATTGCCCAAAAATATAAAGTTAGTGATAATATAGTGATGTTTTTCAAAAAATAGTGGAGTTATATAATTATTAATTTAAATGGATGACCATATCCTGATCAGCTGTTCTTCCATTAATATTCAAATACATATGATGTGATTTTTATTCAATTAATTTCAGTTCATAATACAATTTGGTTTTTTATTCTTTTGTTGAAGTATCTACAAAGCTGAAGTAGATTAAATTAAGGGTATTTAGCATTCTCATGATTTTATATAAAAATCTTAGTTGGGCAAAAGTGTTCTTCACAACAAGTAGAACTCTATCTCAAAGATCAAATAAAAAATATAAGATATTGCCATAAGCTTGGCAAGGTTTAATTTCCAAGTTGATTCAATGACTCAACTTCAATTTCTCTTATAAAAGTATATAGCTCTTTTGTAGCAATATGAAAAAATTATATATAACAAAGAATAAATACCTAAAATATTAATAGCATCTACTAAAGAGATTTAGGTTGAATGTTAATTTGGAATTAATTTCCCTCACTTATCAATCTTAGTAAAGAATAAATTTCTTAGTGGTATGATCACAATACAGAAGCTCACACTTAGCTCTATAACTCTAGAGTTAAGTTCTTTTAATGAAATCTATATATGCTCTAAATGAAAGATCAACTTCTTTAACACTATAACGAATTTTTTAGCTGATTTACGAGATTATACATATATGTGCATTAAGCATGGAGCATTTAGAGAAATCAATAAATCTAATAGATACATTTTTAGGTAATGAATTTTATGCTTTTTAATTTTGAATTTGTGACATGTTATTCTAGGCAACCATTGTTGTATGCAAAAAAGGTTTTACATTCTATAATAACTTTAAAACATAGATAAGAGCTATTATCTACCTTTCATTAAGAAAACTCTTGGAGCTCAGTTAATATAAAATATAAAAAAAGTTAAGAAAATGCACTTTATTGCTGTTGCAAATACTTTATAAATTAGTCATTCTTTTTCATCCAAACTCACTGATAATTCTTATTGAAAATATGGATATCTCAATTTGAAACTCTTTGGCTTATTTTTAGGAGTTTTTATAAATTTGTGAAAAGAGCAATCCATTTAAATTTCTTTATTAAATACCTTTTTATGCAATTTAGTAAGATATTTGTAAGTCACTAAATTTTCCATTTTACTTTAACCATGTCTTTGACCATTTGGATGAGTCTTACTCACAACCTCTGTAGGTTCTCATCTCAACTTGGTTATTCCTCAAATATGTTCTCACAACCACATTGACTTCACATTTGGTCAAATGCTCTATATATCAAGTCTCAATTCAGATACCCAAAAGTACCTCTAACATACTAGCTTTCAATATCACATTAGTAGTCTAAGCCCATTGGTACTATAGTTTTATTTTTTCGAAACTAAACCATCTGTCCATGAGTGGTCATCTTATCACCACACCTTAATATCTTTATGATGCCCCAAAATATAAAGAACACCATCCTTTAATATCCCTTCTTCAATCCCTACTAAATCCTTTTTATCCATAGTAGTGCTTACCAATACCATTAATAAGGCTTATCCATTAAGTCCCACTAACATTTAGGACTTCTTTATTACATAATCATGCCTTTGGTTAGCAAACAAGAGGACTCCTCTTCCTTTCCATGATTTAGGATTTTGGAATGATATTTTAAAACACCATAGCCCAATATAAGCCTTATAGGTACTCCCACCTTCCACCACTAGGATGCCCTAGTCATGTGGCTAGAGTGAAGCTTTAATGAGCCACATAAGGTATTTAAATAAGTAGTGCCACACAACTCTTGAATACTTCACTAAGTCACTTCACTTATCCATTTATATTCACTTTAGCTTTGGACTCTTTAGTGTTTATATCATCACCTAATATGTTGGTATAGTTTTCCTTAGTCTAGAGTCCTTCCCTTATTATCCTATTGAGACTTACCAAGCCCCTTAAAGTTTAAGAGATGATTGCGTTGGGCTTTCACCCTTGGACGTGGACTCAGACTTAAACTTAGACTTGCACTTAATTGTAATCTCTTGAATTTAAACTTCTTAGAAGGTCACGTAACTCAATATTATTCAAACCCAATGACACTTAACCCCAAATATCCCAAGACCCTTAACCAATTGGAAAAAAGGGGTGCATTCTTATTTATGAGCTTTTTCCCTTTATATTTTAACTTTTATATATTGTTTTTCAAGTTGTTCCCTTTAGTTGCTTATATTAGTCATGGTCTTAATCTCAATCTTAGTATTAGTCTCAAACTCTATTTTGAGCTCCATCTTAGACTCCATCTTCCTTCTCAGACTCAATCTCAGACTCCTTTTTGAGTCTGTAAGCAATTAAAAGGAATGATTTGAGAGATGATCTATAGGAGTTCAAATATAAAGGGAAAGTGCTCATGAATAAGAGTGCACCCTTTTTTCCAATCGGTTAAGGGTCTTGGGATATTTGGCCTTGGGTTTGAATAGTATTGGGTTAGCTGATCTCCTGGGAAGTTCAAATTTAGAAGTTTATAGGGCCTAATCTTGACACTTTCAAATATTATGACACTTGCTATGTGTCGATCATTCTTTTGTCCCTTTTTTGAGGCTCACTTACCAATCACTTCATGCTTGTTCCTTGGACATTTCTTTGAAAGTTCCACTTTTGCTCTTGTTTTTTTTAACTTTTAGTCCAAATATGTTACACTCATTGGACTTTTGCTTTGGCTGTTACTTCATTAATCACCTTGAATTCTACTTTGGGACTTAGGGATTTGTGTCTTATAACTCCACCACCCATAGATGAAGTTCAATGTCCTCATCGAATAATAATTTATTTTCTAAAGTAACCCTATCATAGATTGTCAATTTTACCTTTGCACCAAGCTAGTTTTAATTAATGGTTTAACACCAAAGGTTCATTATCCTTTGCATATCTATTGAGTATAAATTCTTCAATTAAGAGACTCATTAGATCACTTATGATGGTTTGTTAATTTATATTTTGCTAAACCCACTAGAGACACCATTTCTATCTCAATCTTACATCTCATTCTA